TAGACAAGATTAGATCAAATTAGAAATAACTTCAAATATAACTACAATCATATCATATCAAAATTTATTTCAATCAGATCAGAACCAACCAGATCATGTGAAGAAAACAATACTTTCGACCTTTCGTCTTGCTCCAAGAACTAGAAACGGTCGACCACAAGCATGACTGATATTTTTGAAGCTCCTGAACTGAAGTTTCAAATGTGTCAAAACGGTTATCCCAGGTCCAAAAATGTTCCAACAAAACTCGACAAAACTCGACAAGACTTACATTTTGAAGCAGTAAAATCGACAAAACTCGAAAAACTTAACCAAATAATTGAATAAATTTTGATAGAAATATGAAATAAAAATAACTCAATGTAAATGAAGAACTATACACTATACACAACATAATTGCATACATTTTAAATAAATATACTCCCTCTGTCCAAAATTAAATTGTATGTTTATTATTTACAAGGTCAAACTTCATTCACCTTTTTTTCCTATTTTTGTTAGTCATTTAATAAAATAATAGTCATGTTATCACTAATTTTGTAGATTATTTGATTTAGTTTTTAAAAATATAATTTTATTTATTAATTTTACACCATTTTCATATGAAATTATTTGAAAATAACTTCAGTCAAACATCGTGAACCGAAATACACGATTTAAATTGAGACGGAGGGAATACTTGTTAAACGCAATTATCATAGTAGAAAAATGCTAGGGGTACACCTACACTCCATTTGTCCCCCACCCCCTCCATTACCACAAAAATGGGCAAGAATTTTTAAAAAATTAAATAAATAAAAAGTAGATAAAAAAGGGTGGTGTAGATTGGGGTGGGGGACAAATGGGGTACACCAAAACCCCTAGCATTGCTCATCATAGTATTAGAACTTGGGAGATGCTAGGGGTACACCACTTGTCTCTACACCATTCATTTTACTTTGTTTTTATTTTTTTATTTTTGTTTGAATTTTACATGCCTTTTTTTTTGTGGTTATGGAGGGGGTGAGGGATATTTGGACTACATTTTTGGTGTACCCCTAACATTTTTCTTAGAACTTGGGCGAATACTTTCAAGGTTGGCCGCTCTTTAAGAAAAAATGATATTGGTGCAAGACTAATCTAGCCCGTGGAGGATCTAGGAATTCAGGTAGATGGAAGCACAATTGGTCATGGATCCGGGCATCCCCCTAGATTTTTTTAAAGAGACAGTATGAAATGACAAAAAAATAATGAATTTATTTTAAATATTTATTGAATGTAAAATATTGTTTACTAGGTAATATAAATTTTATTACAATGAATAAATTATGTGCAATAAAATGTATTTTACTGTAATAAAATTAAACAAAAAACTAAAAACTAGCTTAACTAGATAAGATTCCATTAATTTTTGTTGGGATTACATAATTGTAGATGGGGTCAACCCCAATTTAGATGGGGGCATGTAGCTCAAAGTATTGATTTCTTTTCAAAAAAAAAAAGAGTTTAACACCTAATATATATTAATAGGGGGCATTGGCCCCCAATTCTTTCTTAGTAGATCCGCCTCTGAATATAGCATAAAACTTCTTAGTCTATCACGTTTATTGCATTCTAGTTTTTTTAATTTTAAACCGGCGGGGAGGGGGCAAGACGAGAAGGTATGTGGTAAAACCGGTTAAATCAGAAATACGGTACTTTTGGGTAATACTCATTCTTGCATAAATATAAGTGTTCATTTTGAAATAACGTAATACTCATTCTAAAATAACGTAGTACTCATTTGAAATAACGTAGTACTCATCATTTTCACACATTTGTTCAATACAATTATAATATTCACTTACGAATAACCTAGTATTCATTCTCAAATAGCGTAATGTTTATTCTCAAGTAACGTACCGTTCATTCTCTTCAGATTTGGAAAATACGGAGTATAATTTTTTAGTATAATTAAACTTTTACTGTACTCCAATTAGCATAGTCATCGTCATCTTAATCTTTACTCCAATTAGCATAGTCATCGTCATCTTAATCTTTACCGTTGTCACTGTTGCAAGTCTCCACGGGGCATCAACGATCGATGCAGCCGCAGTTAGGGATTCTTCTGTGCTCCCTTCATTCTCTGGTCGACGCAACTCGGGTTTGCCATCTTCGTCGCCATCTTCATTGTTGTTTCTTCGTTTATCGGATGTTATGCTGCTAATTTTCGCTGGTTGTACGATTCTTCTCGTACATATAATTTGCGCTAGTTATAATAACACATTTTAGTTTTTTTGTTTTTTTATTAGTTGTCGAGTCGGTCTTATCTATTAATTGTCCAGTCGGAATTTAAGATGAAACGAAATTAACACACAAACTGATCGAGCTGACAGTGACAGAGCAACGGTACAAAAATGTCATTTGTTTAATTTCAGAGTAATATAAAATTGCAATAAGAATTTTTGGTAATGTCATAGAAGCGAATTGGAATTGAATAAAGCGAATTAAACTCAATTGAAACACAAGAGATATGCATCAGGATATGCAATATCTACGAATTAAATTTCCTAGGAATTGTTCTACAAACAATAATTAAAAATATACTGAATACTATTCGAATCAAAGAATGGTTTATAGAAACATTAAAATGTCAAAGATAATTATAGCTGTGTAGTATGCTGATTATTTAACAAACAATGATATTAAATTAGTCGTACTATTTAAGTCAACAACCTTAATTCCTTAGGTTCTCAAGAGAGCGACCAAAATTATTCCACACTCGTACATCGAACTCCATGTCTTGAATTAAAGAGGAGACAACCTCATAATTCTTTTTTTTGAACGTTTTGATACGATTACAATATAATATATGTTTATAACTTTTACGGATTAGTGATGTACAGTGAGTCAATATTCTGCTAGCTAAGACTCGAATTTGAGTAAACTTTCCATGAATATTAGGGAGTGAACTTTCTATCATTTAGACAAAGGGAAAAGTTCAACAACCTCATACTGCCTCCGTCTTAGAGTATTTCTCCGACTTTGACTTTCTATATTCAATATAGTTTGACCATTAATTACATAAATTTTATATTAGATACTGATACAAAATATTCTTATTAAATTTATCATATAAAATCTTTTAAATTTTATTCCGATTGTCTGTTGAAAGCCCATATATACCTAGTGACTCGTGGTCATAAAGGTGTTGTTGCTGCATTCTCAAATATTGGTTTCAAAGGGAAGGTCCTTTTGCAAGTAATCAGCCTGTTAGATTCAAAATGATTCGGTTGTCGACTTGAGGTAGGGTATTAGAGTATCATACACTGATAAATAAAAAACAATGGATTTATAAGCTTTTGATTTGAACTAATAATTAATTGAATTCAAATTTTTAATGTGGTTCAACCTAAATGTGTTATAGCTTAATCCAGTAACCCTTACTCAATATTAAATTCTATCATGGTATGAAAGTCTTACTTATCAAGAAAGTCACAAATTTGAACCTCACTGTCACCCATATTTAAAAAATTAATGTTCACGTGCAAGATTGAAGCAAAAAGGAATATCTTCTTTACATGAGGGGGCGTGTTAGAGTATGTAACCTTTTCTAGATCTACAACCACATGCTTGAACTTTTGGTTGAATTAATTTTTTGACAAAGTTTTATATGAGTTCTAAAATCTATTTAAATGTTTGAATAAATCTAAAATAATGGTTGTTAGTGAGAAGCAGGGGTGTAGCGACAGGGGGTGGTCGGTGACAGTGGTAGTCGACAGCAAGGGGTGGTTGGCGGTTGACAGAGTTATGAAATCTCGATTGATATCTCCCAAATTTGGGAGATCGAAATTCTCTAATTTGAGAGGGTTCGGATATTTGAAGATATCAAAATCGAATTTTGTTCTCTCAGGTAGAGACTGACCGACGAGCTCTTAAATGACCCTCGAGGATTAGGCTCATCCTTTTATAGCATACAAACCAAGATGATGAAAATAAAGAAGAAAGATAATCATAATGCCCTTGCAAGTTATGTTTGGAGACCCTAACTTTCACACCACTTTCAACACCACTCTTCTTGGATATTCACAAACACGGGTTAGCACAAAAAATTTGTGAATATTTATAAGGTGGTGTCAACACCGATATCATTAGTATATGCCCTTACAAAGCATTTCTTATGTGATTTTGAGATCAGGCAAAAAAGTCAATATTGTGCAGAATATTTATTATTTTGTCACAAATAGAGAGGGATAAATACATTTAGACGGTCCAGAAAAATAGACAAACACATTAGTAGGAAAAGAATAGTTATGTCAAGTTTTCAAGATATGGAACACTTTAAAACGCATTGGGTTGTGAGACTAGATTGCTTGCCCAAAAGAGACCAATCCCATACTCCCATGTTAGGTAACGTTTTGCCTTTTGAGTATGGGCTGGATAATTCTCTTTTAGGCTATTAATAAATGGGACTGTAGTAGTTCTCTGAATTGTTCACCTGCATCTGCCCAGGCCAATTCAGTTAAGCTCCGTTGAACTTATTTTTTCAACTTACAGAGTATTATTTATTCTTATTAAAATCTGATCAAATCAGAAACAACTTTAAAAAAACTAAATTCAGATCAGATTAGACCAAATCTTTAAAAAATTAGATCAGATCAGGCAAACATAATGCAATCTAAGCTGAATGGGCTATCAAACATACTTAGGCCATGTTCTCCTCAACTTATTTTTTTTACTTATTACTTCTTCTTATTGGAATCAGATCAGAAACAACTTTAAATATAAATACATCCAGTCATATCTGAACCTATTCCAAACTGATTAGGACCTTTCAGATCAGGTGAAGAGAACATGGCCTTAGTAGGACCGAACTTTCGACACGGAATTTCATTTGAGCCGTGTCTAATGTCTAAACACGTGTCGAATACGGCATTGCATTGACACACCCTCGACACGTGTCTAAAAATGGCAAAAAAAATGAATAAATTAGGCAATAAACAAGTCTTTTTTGGGAGAGATAGAGTAGTCATTGAAATTATCATTTTAAGTGTCCTTTGTTAACTGAAATTGATGTGTCTTGTGTCTGCAACAAACAGAGTAAGTTTGAAGTCATTCAGAAATATAATATTTGTACCTTGTTAAAACATGTTAAAACAGGACATGGGTGTGGCTCAATTCCAAGTCTAAATCTCTCACATCTTAACAAACAAGCAAATGGGGTGAATTTCATATTTACAAGTGAAACACCCAATTCAAATAAGACCACCAACTTATAAGTTTAGAGTGTGAGAGAAATCAATTAAATCCAATATCTGGACAAATCCTTAAAACAATACGTGAAGTACTTAACAAGAACACTAATGTCCGTGGCTATCACTTAAATCATAGTTCAATGATTTTTGGAGTACCTCAAAAATCCAAAAGGAGCTGGGGAAGTATCCTCTCCAAATGTGTTGCTTCAATTCTAGTAGTACCTTCTGCTTCAGCAATAGCAGCAGCACGATGTACAGCTTCTACATTAAATAGGAAATCAGTGCATTTCATAAAGAGTTTCTTTTAGACATTAGTTCCAACCCTCAACTTTCTTCTTTCAGAGTCCTCAGATTTTACATTTAAAAAGAATGAATTTCTAGTAAAATAGAGCTTAAGGATGCTCTATTCTTAAAAAAAGAAGAATTTAAGGATGCTTGTAAATTTGGTCAATTTACCTACCTCTACCTAGTGATCACTGCTCTTCAAAGGGAAAATTATGTGATTTCTTACTACTCAAAAATTCCAATTAAAGTAGGCAGAAATAAAAAAAATCAAGGAAACATTCCCTCAGTCCCATTAAAAAATCATGATTCACAACTGTTCAACTTTTGAATTTCAGTGAGGTCCAATGACAGGAAATCATCGAACATGGAACATAGCTATGCATTATAAAGATTTGGTTGGTTTAAATAAAGTTAACACAATAAACTTGTTTCACACTTTTTCAATAAAAACACATGGAATATCATGAAACTTAGTTTATTTTGTCCAAATTACTCCTTTTTTGGGGAAAAAATAAATTCACAAACATGATCCTTTTCTGGGACAGGGGGAGTGTCCGTATCCATTGAAAAGTAATTCTTATTTGAAATAAAGCGATCAAACCTGCAACAAAAACTCGAAGAAGCTCGCAGCTAAGCTTCAGTGCAGCTGCATTAGCTGCACAGATCAACATAAAACACTCCCTGAGTGAACAGATTTATTAACACTGAAAAACCGTCCGGACTTGCACGCAAAAGGTAAACATGAATCAAGTGTTGGAATTTTTTACTCTTAACGGGACAACTTTGGACGTACTTTTATTCCCGCTGTATTATTTGTAACATCAAGAACAAATTCTTTAGGTTAGGTACCCAAAGGTTTCCATCCGAAATGCAAAGATGAGACCTAAGCATAAATGCCATACTGATTGTGCCAACCAAATTGTCAATAAATATAAGTTATGTCTAATACTAAGAATATTATTACAAACATATAACCTTTTTTTAAATCTTGAGGTTAAACATTTGTATCCTCGAAGTAGTCTCTTATTTGCAAAAATGCAAGGTATGTTTTGCCTAAATTGGCTAAATCACACCCTTATGGTGGGACTCTTTCCCGGCTCTCACAAGGTGAAGAAAATTTATGCACCGGGCTACTCTTTGTCCTTTTTTGGACAGTGGGAGTAACAATGATGATGATCATGAATGAAATAATGCCAAGAGCCTAAGAGTGGATCGTACATTAAAAACTAATTCGGCAACTGTGACTTATGCATATGTATGAGCAAAACAAACTTCCACGAGAAACTCTAGATGGTCTAGTATGAAATCTGCGACGTTTTTGAAATGTGATGCACCTTCTAACTGAGTAGATGGAGTATATACATAGTCCAATCATCACAACAGTTGGCATATATGCATCAACATTCATTTTAACCATTTATTGACGCTTTGTGTACCGGGTAGCCCTTCCATTACAAATGGCATTACAAAGATTCAAGTATAAACCCTTCATTGTGCATTACTAATTACTGTTCTCTAAGAAACAATCAATTAAGCATGGCATTACTCTACACTAAAGCATTTCGAAATTCATAAGCTAGACAATTGATCCTTATTTCAGTTCTGGAAAGAAAAGTAAAGAGAATTGGAAATAAACGGCCTGTTTGTGAAAAATAAATTTCTCACCATATGTAGGGCGATTCCTCCTGGATGTGTTAGCTGCTCCGATAATCTCGTTGTCCACAGATTGTGAGAGTTCATTTTTCTCGCGATCTGGACGGAAAATTCGTCGATGTTTGGGAAATACAATTTGAAGGAATTGACAACTAATGAAAGGGAAAAGAAAAAGAGTACCTGCAGCCCGTCTTCTCCAGACGAGCTTGAAGATTTCGTGAATCAAGTCCTGATTTATTTACAGGCCAAAAAAACGAAAAAGGAATTGAGAATGAGACCTATCCAAAGGGAAAGGTTAAAGGAAGAACATGGTCATTAGAAAAATCACAGGATCGAACGAGAAATCCTTCTCGGTTTCCATCGAATTCGGCTCTGCAGAAGTCAGGAATGCTAGAACGAAATGGAAGAGAGGGGGAGAATTTGGAAAATAAAACTCTCAAGAGTCAAAACCAGAACAAATTAGAAAAAAATGGTAAATAGTTGGAAAAATTGGACCCGATTAGAAAAAAAATGAGAAGTATTGAAATATTTATTATATTTAATAGATTTCATAATTTATTCAAATGAGGAGTATATTCTTTCTCTTTCAAATTCTCAATCTTTTTTTTCTTATTGTTTTAAATCTTTTTTTACTTTTGCCCAAAATGATATTTCTAATATTTGTGTGACTCGTACATACTCTTATTTTTATATTTTTTAAACTCAATATCAATCTTAAGTATTTCATTTCTCAATTTGCATGCCCCTATACATGTAAACAAAGTAAGAGGACAAATGAAGTAATAATTTTTATTTATCTTAATTAAAAAAATAGATATAAATAATTTAACGATATCACAACCAAACAAAAATAATCATACACCGCGTTCTATATATTAAAATAATAACATGATTGATCTCAAACCAAAGATGTTTATTTTGTATTATAAATTACTTATTTCACATTATTTATTATGCAAATGAATGATTATTATTTATTATGCAAATGAATGATTTAGATAAGACAAAAAATTAACTATTTTTTATTTCAAAAACAATAACTAAATCACTATATTATTAAACAAAATCCCACAAATAAAGATGTAAAAAATCGTTATGAGCTACAAAAATAATTTATACACATTTACAAGTTACATAATTCTTAATGAAAGAAAATAGAGTGCACTATTTTTTGGGCGATTACAAGTTGTGTTGTTTGTTGAGTGTAAAAGTACACAAATAATCTAAAGAAAAACATTTGTTATTTTTTGTAACGACCCGAAAACCGGTTTAGTAGTTAGCCGTTATTTTAATTAAGATAAATATATTATTTTCTGACTAAAAAATACGAACTATTTGTAAAGTTGACCTTTGTATTTTAAAATTAGGTTTCCGGGTAGATCTTGTAAAATGGTGACCGACGGTATATATCTTGATAAGTTTAGACTTTTGTGTAAAGTTTGATTAGTGAAATAAACATTACACTTCAATAAATAAATATAAAATTTTATAATAATTAAATAATATAATAATTATACACCTAAGTCTACCCGTATTACACGAACAAAACCCCAAACTCATTCCCCCTCTCTATATACATGATTAATTACCTAAATTAATAATCCCTAAACCTACAAGGAACCGGTATAACCCTTTCCCCCCTTCTTCTAAATCTATACACAAACATTAAGAAAAGAGAAAAAGAAAGAGAGAGGACGAAAGAGAGCCGAACAATGCACGGAGTACTTGATCGCACGACAAAGAAAAGAGAAAACATAGCCGACCCCAAAGGAAAATGAAACGCCCAAAACATACCCTAAAAGGATCTTACGTGATGCATGACGGTAAGCTAGGGTGTTAACACTCGAAGCTAGACCGCTATTTGTTATTGAATATTGTGATGATTATTACTAATTGATGGTTATGATGATGATTATTGATTGATTATTATGATGATTAAACCTTGATGAATATTCTGATTAAAATGATAATTATGAATGATTAAATCAACAACAACAATACAACAATAACCCAGTTAAATCCCACAAGAGTATGGTCTGGGGAGGATGTGTGTACGCAGACCTTGCTCATACTTGAAAGTAGAGAGGCTGTTTCCAAAGAGACCCCCAGCTCAACGTCGAAAGTTGCATTGCTTGACTAACTGCTACTTCATTAATTAAAGAAGCACAGACAGTTTATGAATGATTAAATCATAATGAATATATATTAAGGATTGTGAAAATAATATGTATTGTTAGGGGTATCTAGAATAACTCTAAGATATACCCATATTAATGTTGATTTGAAGGGTATCTAGAAGAACTCTAAGATATACCCAAATGACCATTTTAGTTAATTGATATTGATTTCAAGGGTATCTAGAATAACTCTAAGATATACCCATAGTGATGTTGATTTTGAAGGGTATCTAGAAGAACTCTAAGATATACCCATTTAAGTTAGAGCTTGCGGGTATGATGCTCGGTGGACAAGGTTAAAACGTATGTACAGGATCAAAGAACCAAACTTGAGTACCTACTCGTTTGGGGGTACCACCCAAGCCAACAGTGAACATTACGGTGTCGGTTTTTGGTTGACCTTAAGCGAAGGTAAGTTTAAGATCTTAAAAACCTTTTTGAAAATCTGAATTTTAAACTAGGCCTAGCTTAAGGTTTGGTTAGGAATACCTTAAACTAGAATTAGTTTAAGAATTAAATTGGCCTTAGACTAAGAATAGTTTATGAGCATTGTTGATATTATAAATGTTGAAAATGAATGATGAATATGGATGATAAAGGACATGAATTGAATATTGTGAACATAGTGAATGATAAATGACTTGAATTGAATATTGTGAATATCATGAATGATAATAGACTTGAAATGAACATTGTGAATATCATGAATGATAAATGACTTGAATTGAATATTGTGAATATCATGAATGATGAATGCTTAAATTGAACATTATGTGCATGATAACAAATGATTTGATTATGAATTGAGATTGAATTTATATGGATGTTCGACGCATTAGATATGCTTACTCAGCCTCAACACTGAGCGTGTAGTATATTTTATTTGATACACGCAGGTTAATAGAAAGAATGATGTGAAGTGATCTTGAAGGCACACGAAGGCGAGATTGTCGGGATGGATGTGATGGTTTTGAATTATGATTGTGATTATGATTTGTTAAGCTTTCGCAATATTGAAAAACATTGTACTGTCATGTTATGAAAAATATTATTGTGACAAATAAAAGTGTTTGAAATGTTTTAAATTTTTACGATTACCAAGTTAATACTTTAGTGCGAAAGGGGTTGTAGACCTGGACGGATTAGGGTTACACGAATAGATTCGTTAGACTGATGTTGTTCGTTCTTGCCGGGAAATAGTTTCACCTACACTGTCAGTGCCGCGTGCTCATTCACCTGAAACAGAGTGTCATCATCGAGTTCACCGTTTCTTTTTGCTGTTTGTTTGATTCGATTTCGTTTTGAAAAATTCGTCAAATAATCAAGTGAGTATGTGGAAATCTAACGCTAGATTAATCGTTATTTGGTTCTATTGTTAATTATGATTTATTAAAATTATAGGATGTTATTGGAATTGATTGATCGAGAAAGGCCAGGTACGTTCTCTTACTCTAAATGACGTAATTTGCGTGTTAGTAATCTTTATAATTAATACAAATATCGAATGAATTTGGAAATTGGAATGTAGGTTGTTTCTGTAACCCTTCCCGATGCGAGACGGTAGCACGATACTTCTAAAAGCTAGCTGGCTACCGCCTCAGGTGTAGGCTCCTACAACCAACGATGATAAGACGGTAGCTAGGTATCGCCTAACGGTACTAGGCTACCGACTCAAGCCTTTTCACCTCTGTCGGTAAATGCATATGGACATTTAGGGGTGCCGCCCGACGGTACACAGGTACCTTGAGAGGCACCGTGTCCGCCCAATTCCCCCGCTTCTTGTTTTCTCGTTTTGATTTGGATTCCAGATTGATTCCATGATACTCTGTGCTACATGACGGTAAGTGAACGATGTTTACACCCGAGACCAGGCTGCTATCTGTTGAGTATGAATTATTATCTAATCTATTATGATCTTGTATGAATTTGGAAATATGAAATTATGAATTTAAATGCGGATAGGCTACCTAGGTGAACTATAGCTAGACCGAGAAACAGAATCAGAATACAATTAAGAATAATTGGTCCTGTGATGAGCCAGCGTGCATGCATGATCATTTGTGTAAAGTGTGCGCACATGGTCGTAGATCTATTCATCGATGTGAGTAGGTGATCCCACGCATCCGACGTTGGATGACATCGTATTGAGTGGGTTCTTCCTTGGGTTGTTGGATTTATAAAATTAAGAACACTGCGAAGCAGTGTTAAACGAAGAACTCGATAGAATAACGAATCGCGTACGAAACGCTTTCAGATCAAAGTTATTTCGGGGTATACGAAATACTTCAATCGGATAAGACGTTAATTCAGAACAAGCACTCTAGAATCTATATCTCAACCCATACCACGAGACTCTATTTTACAGAGTCGAAAATCCTTGTGATCGGACATGAACATTCGCGTAGATGTACGCGTATGTTCGCGCAAGAAGAAGAAAGGTGCGAGTTTGAACAAAAGGTCTCCTGCGGTTGAAGGCTTAATTTCGACGTTTATCCATTATGTACGAGTCCTTTACCGTTTTAGGACTCCGGCCAGGGGCTCTACCCCCTGGACCCCGCCAGGGGCTGCCGCCCCTTGGACCCCGCCACCCGGGGGCTGCCGCCCCCGGACCACGCAGTGAATTTATAATATCGTTGAACGAGCGCACACTCCGCGCCTCCTAACTCGTTTGACAACGTCTATTTAAATTCTTGTCCGATCAAAGTAAATCCAATTACACAAAATAAATTGATGACACTAAAATCACCAACAATCCTCCCCTATTTTAGTGTAATCCATGACTTACTTTCTGAGATAATAGATTCAACAAACTTATGCATAAATGAAAATGTCGCGACGATTGAATTTTCATCTTAGTATATTACACATTCCAAATATTCGAATTTCGGGGTGTCTCTAAGGATTGAACCCTTGCAATTCATATGAATACATGAAGATAATATACACATAAGCTCTAAGTACTTCTTTGTTCCAAGCTTGACACCGTATTTTACTAGCCTTGTGTCCCTATCCTTCAACGAGCACATAAAAGTCAAGTCCAAACTTTGTGAAGTGGCTAAACTTCATACTTGTATAGGTAGTTCTTTTATGTCTTGTACCTGCACATACAATTTTTCAAAAGAACTATTAAGAAGATTAACTTCAACCTCTTTAACTTGCAGTTTTGAACACATACCTTTGGATGATGCTAATGTTGTGTTCCAATCTCTTGATGTTAAGCTTTCCACATTGAATTCTACACCTAACGTCGTATTAGGTGGGAATTGAATGAGAACTCTAGAATAAGGAATTAGCCTTAGCCTAGGATAGGTTATGAGATTAGAAATTTGGAAGTTTTATTATGAGTTTTGCATATATGTTTCTGTGTCATAAATGACTGAATTAGGAATGATGTAAATTTGGTTGTTCAGGTAAGAAGGTTTGACTTATGAACTCTTGTTATTATATGATTATTGTTGTGTGATGCTATTAATGTTGCACTTGTGTAC